CTCAAAAATGTATTAGCTTTAGACAAATAGTAAGTGGCAAACTAACAGCTTACTACGTAGCGTGTCCAAGTTTAATATCTGCTTTTTATATTAAAAAAATAGAACGTGGGATTTGGAAAGCAACGTATGTTTACAATGAAAAATATAGAAAATATGATTGTGTAATACTCCTTTTTTTTGGGATAGAGGTGATGGAAAGCGACTTCCGCCGCCCATGAACGCCTGCAATTCAGGAGTCACAAGCGCGTTGCCAGCCTTTGAGGAAGGAGTACGCTCTTTTCTTGAAGGTTTGAAGGTCGTATCACTATTTGCGTGAGGGAGAATAATTATCCTTATTTAGTGTGTATTATTGTTGATTAAGTTTTGCCAGTTCCTTCGTCCCCGTATATTTTTTTCTTTTGTGTCTCGATAACAGTAAATTTTCCTAGTATAAATGTATCTTAGCTAATACTCGTACTAAAGTTAAATAATATTGTTAGTTTATATTACGGAATACGTACATATACTTAAATTAGTTTAACAATAACTCCGTGCTGACGTTTGCAAAAAACTTCATGTAAATTATTTACGCCAATAACCCGATAAATGCAACTTACCAAAATAAATAAATAAATTACACAGGTTTTGGGCAGACACATTTTTGTTTCTAAATTCCTAACAATAAATTTGTGCGTCATGATATCTTTGTAAATATAATTAGGAAAAATCTAAAAAAAACTTGCTAAGGACTGTATTCAGTCTACCGATGCCAAATTTGACATAACAGTACAAAGAACATAATAGCACATTACGTATGACTTTGAGCAGTATTTTCCATGATGTTTTTAAATCTGACTTAAATAATAAAACAACAAACTCATAATTCTTAAACATAATAAATTTATAAAGTTTTATGTAACGTCAATAATAGGTATAGCTTCCATTTTTATTGACTATAATATTGATAACAAGAAACAAGATTGTTGAATAAAATTAAGCCTGATATTCACGCATTTTTATGTGGCGATTGCATGATTTTGTTTATCATATAAAGTTATGTTTTATGCATATGCAACATTTTTAAGTAAACAAGCCAATAGACGTTTAACATGTTTTGAAGAAATAGAGTCTGTAAAAGACACTTCGACATTTTAGCGTGATTGCTCCCCAAATAGACCACTCAGTCCTTCAATCTCTATAGCTATTGTGCTATACCTGCTTTTAGTATAATATTCGCTTTTAAGCTAATCGTATGCCACAATTTATTAGCTAAGTCCGTAATTGTTTGTAAGGTCCAAGACCTTATTAAAATAACGAAGGAATAGGTTGCAACACAGTGGTGCCATTCACGAGTATGATTGAGACAACACCGAGTTGTTACATTTGAATCTGATTAATAAATGTATTTATTTGACCCATTTAATTTATGCATACCTTTAAATGTTACGCAAAGAAACAGCAACTCGTCTATGGTGATGATATTTCAGTAATAAATAAAGTATATTTATATTAAAGTAGTTTGTGTTGGTATGTTTTACTTCTCTCGGTACTGGCAGACGGGTCATCTCAGGGCTGAGTGCAAATTTAATTCACATTGATTCGCTGTCGACGGCGCTTAGCGTTGCGATTGGTGGAGATTTCAGTGCGGGCTAATCGTAGCACCGAACGCGGTCACCGTGAAGATCGAGTAGAAGTGAAATAAACTCACACTTGGCCCTCTGATGGTGAGTGACTACCGCCGCCCATGGACACCCGCAACGCAAAAGTCACAAGTGCGTTGCTGCCCTTGGAGTCCCTCCCGCTCGAGTCAGCGGATTTTGTTTTTATTAAATATCCGTGCCAAATTTTCCTAGATTTATATACTCGTAGCTATAAATCGGAAGTCGTTTTCGACATTTTACGACTACATAAAAATGAAAAGTTCTAAAGTTAGACGACAGATAGTTAGACGGAACTAAAGATCCGTCCGAGCGTGTATCATATATTGATAAAATTGTTAGTTTTGGCAAAATGGCACAAATATTACGTAAATGGTATTTGTGCGCTGTTGACAAAACTGTTATTTGCACCGACTCAAAATTGCCTAGATGACCATGGGAAAGTCTTTCTTCCGGCATATATAGCCGGCTAGACCGGAGTGATAACATGACCTAACAGAAAAACGGTGATAATGGTCTTTTAGTGGATTACGGCGGGCCCGGACGGGGTCTGAACCGGACCAGGTCTTTTATAAAGGGTTTTTTTATAGAGGTTACCTTCCTCGTAGCCCTCAAAGAGCCGCCATTCCTGACTGTTGCCAGTCAGGCTTACGACTTGGCCGGACGGCATCAGACCAGTGTCCACCACCTCTGGTCAAAGCAAGAGGTAGAGAAACCGTCCGCCTCCTAGCTTGCTCTCCGCTATGCCCTCCGCTGAATAGAGAGACACGTTGAAAGCTTCCGAATCAATGAATCATTGGCCGCAGCGCCTCCTCCACACAGGGAGAGAGGCGTTGCCGTTTTTATTGCCCAGGGATTGTTTCTATGACACCATAGTATCATACCGGTCCATTTGTGCTAAACCATAGCTCTCCTACTGCAAAAGCAAAGAAAGATAAAAGGAAAATACAAAAAGGCTGGCGTCCTCTCTGTAAGGAAAATGTATATTTATGAGATCCTAAGACGCTACCATTAAAAATATATGTCAACCTTACCTGTGCCAAACAAACGTGTAGAACGGTGCCCGGTACCTAGATCAAAAAGTGCCTTTAGGCAAAGGTATTTTTATTTTCTTTACCCTTACATTTATAATAAATGTAACAAGGTACAAAAATTAAAAAGGCTCAGTCATTTAAAAGTTAAAAGGGTTGTACATACCTGGCTGAGTACAATGGACTACGACACTGTTGAAAATCTATTAAGAGTCGATAAGTGATGCCCTAACACACATATATACATTCCAACACACACAAACATACACATACACAACATACACACACACACACACACACACAGCGCATGAATTGGATTATTATTTTAAAATTTTCTTTTGTTTTTTTTTCTTTCTTTCTATTTTTATTTATTATATCAAAATTTTTACTGTCTATGTAAAATGGGGAGGACACTGGCTCTTGTAATACAGTATCTACTAGTGTAGGAGCCAGAGAATTCTGGAATGTCAATAAAAAAATATTATTATTAATATTATTAAACCGAATTGAGAAGTTGTTAAATAACCATATATGTGGTTTGCTATAAATAAAAAGACGACAGTAACTAATCGATTATGCTAACATCATAATGCAAAACAAATTAACGCAATTAGCGGTATGTGTTTGCTATTAACACATACTGCCCGGCCGCTCGAAGGCCGCACTTGTAGTATTATCTATACAGTAAATATTTTATTTTGAACTGAAAACATAATATTGACTTCGAGAGAATCCTCACATCACATCAACAGCCTTAAATATCCTACTGCTGGACATAGGCCTCCCTTTAGAAAAGAGGTTTTTGCGTACTATACCACGCTGGCCAGACGGGTTGGTATAGGGTTTGTGTCAAGTTTTCCTTCTCTCTGCAGTGCTGTTGTCCTGCGTAGTTTTTTCCCTTAGTCGGCTCTTACGACACCCACGGGATGAAAAGGGGTGGTGATATTCCGTATTCTTAATCCGTCAACACACGGAATACCTATATTAATGGAATACCTCAAGAGAATATCTAAATTCATTACTTGGTAAGCCTAAAGATTAACTCTGACTGCAAGGATAGCGTGGTGGTTTAAGGTCATAGTTCATTACAACCACCCGACACCCGACCAGCACCAGCATTGTTACCCTTTAAGTCCACCCCCCCAAAATGAGAATGAGAGGGATAGGGGGGGGGGGGGGTTGGGATTACTACGACAAAAATGTAACTAATAGTTTTACGTGAGTGTTTATGCTTTTAATCTCTAGTATATAAAATTCTCGTGTCACGGTGTGCGTGGTTGAACTCCTCCAAAACGACTCGACCGATTTTCATGAAATTTTGTGTGCATATCGTTTAGGTCTGAGAATCGGCCAACATCTGTTTTTCATAAGCTTATTTGTATTCTTTTTTGTCAATTTTTTTTGAAACAATGTTTGCGGGGTCAGCTAGTTCACGTACATATTACACTTCTGTTATACTAGTAATAGTTGAACGCGTCGTGCTGAGTGGAGCGACAATAGACCGTTATCAATTAGAACAATTCCTTAACAGATTCCGAACCAAGTCCGTGGGCTTGTTTATGCGTGTTACCGGGCGAATTATAACTTTGATTACATTAAATTGTTAAAAAACAGATAAAATAATATGTTTTGCACTGTTGATATCTAATGACCTTTAGCTTTTTGAACTTTGGATCTAATTATAATACGAATTTAAATATGTTATCATGCTATGTCCTATTTCAGTAGTGGGTGTGTATATTATCTGCTGATATATAAAAATGAATTGCTGTCCGTTATTTTTACTAAAAAGGGAAGGGAATGGCTGGACCGATTTAGCAAGTTTTGGTCTTGAAATATTTGTGGAAGTTCAGAGAAAGTTTCATAATCATCATTAACAGCCTTTACCAGTCCACTTCTGGACATAGGCCTCTTCTTAGGAATGTTTGGCTTACTATACCAAGCTTGTTTCAAGTTTTCTTTCTCTTTGCAGTGCTGTTTAGTTTGTTCCATTAGTTGGCTCTTACGACACCCACGGAATGAATAGGGGTGGTTTTATTCCGTATTCTTATCCGTCAGCACACGGACAACGAAGAAAGTTTAAACGGTGGAAAAATATGGAAAAATGTGAGGAAAATATGAAAAACAATTTTATTTACCCATACAAAATGTTCCTTTTGTTTTAAACATTCGATGTCGTTGTCAATACAGTAAACTCGTATCAAATTATTCTAATAATGTTTAGATACTAATAATCCTTTGTATTGATACCTTTGCAACTTGTTAAACAAGCCTTAAAAAATATTCTCCTTTTTTCAGAATGCGAGTACCAGAATAGCAGAACGTAAAAGAGATGGAGAAACCGACGATGCATATGCTCTCCGTCCAGGAGAAGGGCGGAGAGACGAGGAAAGCCAACCAGTATATAGCTGCAGTTGCAGGTAAAACTTAATTATGTCTTAAATATGTATCCGTGTGGTGACGGATTAAAAATACCGAGTGTCACCATCCCTATTCATCCCGTAAGTGACGTCAAAGCCGACTAAGGAACCAAACTACGCAGGACAGCAGCGCTGCAAAGAGATTTGGGAAATTTGACACAAAACCATATACCAACCCGTCTCAATTATCGTGGTTTAGTAGGCCAAATCTCCTCTCTAAGGAGAGGTCTAAGTTCAGCAGTGGACTATTAAAAGCTGTTGATGGTGATGATGTCCCTATCAATAAACTGATTTACCAGGACATATAATTGTGTAATGATCTTTGTTATTTGTCTGGGTGTAATTATTTAGAAATATAAAAGTATGTAAATCAGCAGTCTGGTTAATACAGGAACTGCCTAGTTTCGCATCAGACTGCCATGTGTAAGATGGGTGGAGTTATTATTATTAATTCAACAAAAATTCTCCACAAAAGCGTTACACTTAAACAAAATTGGCACCATATCAATATTATTCTCATGTAAAAAACTGACCTCCATCACCCTGAAACAGCGATATCGGTTATCTCTTTCTAAAATTTATGTAATATTTTCCTACGGATGTCAAGCATGCGATTACAGCTTGTCGTCATGAGTAGATTGTAGTAACAGTCGGATATAACAATCTTTAGCATTAGATATGGTTGGACACAGCAAATTTCTACCCGAATTAGAGCCAAACGACTATAACACGGTATTTATACCTAGATTTTGTAAACTATATTGTAAATACAAATTACAGACTATCGATAAATGCATTTTAATCAATACTTACAATATAAAATCACATTAAAAATATTGTTTACCAAAAATATTTATTTTCGTAGTGACTCATCAGTATTTTGTCTATTGTTGAAGCATTCGGGTTAAAAGATCATGTAGATACATAAAACTATACATGTTGACGACTTATTGACAGGTGGTTTTATATACCTAATTAGCATTTGACCCGGACTGCTAAGCTGGAGGTCGTGGGTTCGATTGCCACCTAAGACAATTATTGTGTGATGAACACGGTCATTTGTTCTGTGTCTGAATCTGGTCTCTTTATAATATGTATGTAGTTAAAAATATATAAGTATGTTTATCAACAGTGTGGTTACCATAGCACAGGCTCTGCTTAGTTTGGGATCAGACCGTGTGTGAGATGTGTGAGGTATATTGTTATTTCTTTTTTTTAAACAACACACCATATGGGCATTAATTAACCTCTACAGTCTCTATTCTACTTCCTCTACACTCTACATCATCTAAGTAAGTGACTACCGCTACTAAAAGAGACCTGGAACACAAGAGACGCAATTGTTTGCTGACGTTTGAGTGCCCTCCCAGGTTAAGGGGAGAGGTTGGCACCGGTAACTTCACTCATTCAGGGACAAGCGACCAAAGATTTGATTAACACAGGTTTCACTTCAGCCGAGCCGGCCGGCGGGATCATATGTGACGAAGTATGGCTTTCCATTGATGATGTGTTTTGTTAAAACTCTCATAGTGTGTTTAAATACACCAAAATAATTAGTTTAGTCCTGCCAAGTACTAAGTTTTCAGAATACGAAACGCTGTTTGACAGGACTAAACAAATTTTTAGTGATTTTTAGTTTAGAGTGTTTTTGAACAACAGAATTAGTACCAATATCATACTAGCCACAATTTACTACTTTTAAGTAATACATTGTGGCTATTAGGTATGTATAACGTACGTATAAATGTAGTATGTGTAAAGTATTAAATTAATTTAATTACTTTTACTAAATAATTTTTATGTGTGGTGGTGACGGATTAAGAATACAGAGTGTCACCACCCCTATTCATCCCGTGGGTGTCGTAAGAGCCGACTAAGGGAAAAAACTACGCAGGACAACAGCACTGCAGAGAGAAGGAAAACTTGACACAAACCCTATACCAACCCGTCTGGCCAGCGTGGTATAGTAGGCCAAAACCTCCTTTCTAAGGAGAGGCTTATGTCCAGCAGTAGACTTTTAAAGGCTGTTGATGATTGATGAAATAATTTTTATTGTTTTGGATTTCAATAAAAAAAATATTTTTTGATCCACAGCGGCCATCGGCGCAGTGGCAGCAGGCACTATCCTCGCTTGGACTTCACCTGCCAACCCTCAACTGAGTCCACTAGAATTGACCAACAAAACTCTGAATGATACAGAAGTTAATGTCGTGGACAATGTTGACAATAACAACACCGTGCTTATCAACTCTCTGGGACAACCAGCTGCCTTCCTTCTGAGTACCACTGAAAGTAAGTTGTTTTGATGTTTTAGGAGACTAGAATGAGATTAGCGTTCTTTACATGCATACATACACTACTCTTTTATCCTCGAAGGCGTAGGCAGAGGCGTTTTAACGCCCTCATTTTGCCAACCATAGGCAGTATTAGTCCTACTTATTGGAATGATATTTGAGTGTTTGTGTCACTTTATTTTAACAGTTAAAAAACGGTTTCTACCTATTATTTTTTCAAACTAAGTTAGTAATGTGAGATTTGATTATTGATTTAAATTTGTAAAAACAAAGGAATAAAGGACATTAATACAAACGAGAGGGTTGAACATAAATTTTGTTAAAAGGCGTAATGACGTGTCGTGATGATATCGAAGCTGAAGCCAAGTAGAACACAGATTAATTATGTACGTCACGTCACACACTTCAATTTACTCGTAATATTTACATTGAAACATTATATTATATACACTGACGTAACTGGCATGAACACACCTCCTTTTACGTAGGAGATGAATGAGTCACAGATTAACGCAACATGTTTTAATGCACGTAGTCCCTGGCTTTGATATACTCGTATGGTGGAACTAATGAGATGTTCTAGAAAAAGTTTGAACTTTCAAGAATGTTCCACGATGTCCTAGAGGATTTTGGAGTATTTCATTTCGGCCGTATTTTTTTATGTTTGTTACCTTATACGTGAAGTATACATATACAGGGTGTAAGGGACGTCGTAACGAATACTGAAGTAGTATATTCAGACCATCATTCTGATTCGAAAATGGTCTGAATACACTATTTCAGTATTCTGTACGATGTCCCTTACACCTTATATATATATTTGGTTTAAAATAATTTAAAAGAAATGTATCAACTACTTCAATGACGGTCAAACCTGACCCATTCAGGTCGAGTCCCTTCCTACCTTGCTATCTTTAAGTGCAATCTAAGTTGCACAAAGAGTTTATTGATTTGTAGACGTTATTTTGCATCTTTTATTTATATATTTAATTTCATTTTTATAACCTAGAACACTAAAATTTACCTACTAGACATTACGTTTTAATATAATAATGAATCAAAATAATAATTATAATACTGTAACGGATAATTATGATGTGGTTTCTATGAGATTTCTATGAGTGATTCTAAATCTAAATTCCAGGTTTCAGTTAGATATCGCTTAATTGATTACCATGAAAAACTATTTGTTTAATTTCTGAAATATTTTAGGAAAAATATCGATTTTGATATTTTAAGTCAGGCAAACTGACTAAGAACGAAAACTGTAAAATAATATGGAATGCAATGTTGCAAAAGTCTTGCATTTGTTATAGTGCATATCCTTGTATATTTGGATAAACAGGTAAACTGCAATGTTTACATGTTTCTATTCTACTAAGAATTATGTACATGCAAATTTAAACTTTTATACTTTTATACTTTAAACTTAATATTATTATAACTCAAAAATATTCAGAAGGCTCGTATTTTAGCAACAACCAGTTCGAGATATGGGTATAGGCCACTCTGGTGTACTCGAAATATTGCCTATATTTAAATATAAAAATGACGAACAATAGGAATAACATAAAATAAAGTAAAGTTAAAATAAAGACTGCACGGATGGCGTAGTGGTTTAAACGGTCGCCACGCCGCTAACTACTACGCTGGGTGCTGTGGGTCCGATCCCCACAAGGGATGACACTTTGTGTGATTACCAAATTGTTGTTCTGAGGGTGTGTGTTCTTTGTGTCCGTTTCATGTACGTTTGTAAAGTCCCCCGCGACACAGGATTTACACCTAGTGCGGGAGTTGTTTGTTTTAAAAAAAGAAAAGAAAAAGTTAAATTTGGCACGGGAGCCATGAATGTCATACCATATTCTCCAGTCTATCAAATGACTCATGGTCAGAATGTTTTACAAAGAAATTGGGAATTACCGCAAGTAATAAACTGGTTAACTAAAACGTGTTTTCATTTTCTTAGTGACCTAAAAATAGAATATGAACTCGAGCCAAATGCGTCCCGTAAACTAATATACTTTGGCATCAGACATTGTAAATAAAATGCGTTTTGTATACTTCCCTACTAACCACTTCTTTATAATCTGCTTTCTAGTCTTATGTTTTAATAGATACGATAAGATACGTCGTGAATTTAAACTTGATGTCATTTTTGTTTAATTTATTTTTTGAAGCTAATGGTTTGATCCGCCGTCTAATAAATCTAAGCTTGGTGATCAGACTGCTGATAAGTATAATTGCCTAACAGCTCTATCTCGTATCCACCAGAAAGCGTAACAGAGTTGACATTTGACACTGTTTTGGCAAACTTCGTAGAGTGAGATTTTTAACCGATTTAAAAATAAAAGAAGTTTTAAGTCAGCTGTATGTCTTTTGTTTACTTGCACAGAATTGCATCAATTATGAACTGATTTGGAAAATACTTTTTTTTTTATTGAAAGGGCATACTTTTCGTTTAGTGCCAAACAAATTAAAAAAAAAGACGGCTCATAGGCGTGAAAATTTAGAAACGAAGAAGGTTTATTACAATTCATCATTCACGTTGATGTTCGCATTTTAAAGTTAATTATTTAGAACATTTTCTTCACCCATTTATACGATAAATGATGAGTTTGTAAAGAAAATACAGATACGCATGGTCGGGGTTTAAATTTAGACAATGGCGTAACACTTCACAGCACTATATTGGCAGTTGAAGAATTTCGATTGCGTTTGCGTCACGAGTGTGAAAAGCTACAGAAAAAAAAGAACAATAAAAGCTGTTTATCGGTGTGACATTGAAAACTATTTCTTGGCAATAGTCCATGTGACGTAACATATCCCACGACTTAAGATCACGGGACACGCCCCCGTTACGAATATAAACTGCTATCAAAACAAACAACACACTATGCTTCTAATTCATAATAAAACGTTCCGTTCTCTTCTATTACTTGTCAGATCACTAGTTACTCCCTTTCTAGCTATCTCTTTCACACAGTCCATCCATCTTTTGTCAGCTTCCATTCATAAAACTTTCTCCTCTACATTTTACTTCCTATACGAGTACATGAGAACTTTACGAGATATTAATGTATTTTTAAAGACGTTACCATTATTTCATCATAATTAATAGCCTTTAATAGTCCACTGATGGACATAGGCCTCTCCTTAGTAAGGAGGTTTAGGCCTATTATACCACGCTGGCTAGACAGGTTGGTATCGGGTTTGCTTCAAGTTTACCTTCTCTGTGCAGTGCTGTTGTCCTGCGTAACTTTTTTCCTTAGTCGACTATTACAACACCCACTGTATGAACAGGGGTGGTGTCTCTGTATTCTTAATCCGTCACCACAGGAATATCCCATTATTAAACATCACTGTTTGTCACTCTGCCTGTCTGTCACACTGATTGCGTTAAACTCCAAAAGTACTCAACAGATTTCTGTAGACTTTTCAATAGATTTCTAATTTTTTAATTAATGTACGGGGAGCAAATGAGTACATGGTTCGTTCGATGGTAAGTGATTACTGCCTCATGGACATCAACTCTAGAGAAGTGAGTGCATTACGTCTTATTGGGCATTCACCCCACCTTCTCTTCCCTTAATAAGAAGATAAGAGACTGTAGGAACCGCACTCACTCGGTGAAAAGAAACGAAAGACCTGCTTAACAACGGTTTTCTGTGAGGCTGGGGTATCACTAAATTCTTGGGGCCGGATGTCTTGATATCATCTGTTAGCGGACCCCTCCTGTTCCCAGGCGCGAAGTGGCACACCATGTGGTTTTAGTCGCTTCGATTCCCACACACCGTCCCGCCGTAAATCCCGGTGGGTGACGGCTTGAGCGAGTTTCCACAAGCTAAAAAAAACACTAACTTCTTCGTGTTTTTGTTATTCCGTGGTGTGATACAAATGATACTCACCTACGTGTCAAGCACCTTATTCGAATTATCGACGAATGGAAATTTTTGGAAAATGAAATTAACAAACATTTATGCACATACATAAAATTCGTATTATTATTAACAAAGGTCATATTTAGCTATACGTAATAAGTTTTGACGTGCAACAAATTTTTTGTTCTTTACCCGTGTGGGACCGTGGTACCCTTTAATTTGGGATCAGACGGCCGTATGAGAGATGTGTTTTGAATTATTATTATTATATTTTAATAATTATCTTGTCTACGTAGTGTTTTAAAATAACTGCACATAAACATATAATAACAGAGTAAGTATAAGGTATTGGGGCTAGTTAACTCTCATTATCCACTTGACTTAAATAGGGTCAAACGATTACTGTTGGAAGTTAATTTTTAAACAAGATATCGTTCCCTAGTGGTTATTCAAATATAAACTGTTTATTTTATGACATGTTATCTTCCTTCTTAGGTAATTTTGACCACGGCGTCCTTCATGTAACAGTTTTAGTTATAAGCAAACGAACAGAGGGGTGGTAAGTGACCACCGCCGTCCATGGACACCTATAAATCAATATAATAAGTGCGTTGATACCATTTGGGTCTCCCCCTAGAATAAGGGAGAGCGGGTTTGATTGCTGGCAACCCTGATTTCCGGCAACCTAACCAGTAAAAAAGGACATTGGGATATTATCCAGAAAAAACCTACTGCGTCTGACGTATTAACGATAGAGAGCCATGCTTTGTCCCAAATGGGCCGGCTCGACCGGACAAGTACCACGGCTTCACAGAAAACAGATGTGAACCAATTAGTTCGTTGCTTTTCACCGAGTGAGTGAGATACGGGAGCTCAACCCCTCTGATTCTCGTGTCGTCTCAGAAATGCGTCAACGTACTCTTAGATCAGGTAACCGTCTGCACGTTTTCCTCCTAAACAGTGTGTTTGAAATTTTACATGAAGAAGTAATTTTCCACATGATGACAATGAAACAATCTAATTTAAAAAAAAACCCGACTGCGTGAAAATTTATGTTTAAAATTAACATTACTGGCGATTTTATATTAAGCGGTTTAGACTATATACACACACACACTAT